TTTTTTTTTTTTTTTTAATTTATGGTTTTTATTGTGAAGTTTACATGAGAGAACATCAGCTTTACACTCATCCTATTGTATTTTGTTTCATTGCAATGATTGCAGTCCCCTCCATGCATCGTCCTATAACCCCAAAGGGTACACCACACAGGCCCACCACACCCCCAACCTCACGGCTGGCAGAATTCAGCCTTTCTTCCACCCTGAGTCCAGTGTCCCCAGCTGCTCCATCTGTCCACACCATCTTCTCTGTCTCCATCCCTGGCGTCACTGCCTCTCTGGGTAGGGTCCCGCTTTCCACTCTTCTCACTTGATGGTCCCAGGGACCTCTGCTCCTGCGCTGCAAAATCAATCACTCTCCTCCTTTTGTCTAAAAACATCTACCTCTGTATTTCCTAACCTCATAGTCAGACCTGATGGCAATTATTCACTATTGTACCACAAGAGTCGTATCTCAATTTCCTTTCGCCAGCCCGGTCCCAACAGATTGGAAATCATTCAGTGGAGATTCTACCTTTCCCGGCCCCATCTGGAACTAGGCTCCCTCTTGAAAGCTTGTAAACCAGTCACTTCTTGTCTTTATAAGCTCCCCCCCTTCCCATTTTGGGTAGCCAATGTCTAAGTTGCCCATCCATGTACCAAGGGAGTGGGAGTGATCCTCAATGTAAAGATTTGTTCCCTTTTTTTGAACTACTACATCCATAAATATAGGTAAAGTTCATCAAATTGTAGCAGTTTGCTCTTTTTTTTTAAATCCTCTTCTTTCTTCTAGTCTAGTTCTGATCATCCAGCCAATGAAGCCAGGTCAAGTGGGTACTATCTGCAAGTATGGGTGTTCTTTGTGCATCTTCCCTCACTTCATATCAGTTGATGTTTCATTCTGTGCTCTAGTCCTCTGTGGCCATGTCACTGCCTCTGGGCCTAGGAGTCCCCGGGTCTTCCCCATACTGCTGGGCATCCAGGTCCTCACCTGGGTTCACAGGGGTCTAATAAATATGGTCCGGCTTAGCTTGCAAATTCATTGATGTTTTTTCCCCCTCTTCCCTTTATTGGTGGCCAATGTGGTCATCAGCCAGACCACATGCTTGCTCATGTATTCCCCTTGAGTCTCAGTCTTGGAAGGGGGTTTACTCTGAGGGGTTCTGACCACTTACCTTAATGGCTCCGGGGCAAACAGCTTACTTGTTTCTGTATTAATCAATCAGACTGCCGTTATTGTTAAGGATTTTTCCTGCTGGTCTTTCATTCACAAAGTATGTTCTGTTTTCCTAGCATCTCCAGGCTGGTCTATTTATCCTTTCTAGTGGAAATTTCCTACCTCAAGTCAGTTCTGGATGGG